ACCTCGTGCGCGGCGTGACACGTTAGGAGGAGATAGAGCTAGAGCCACTGCACACCATTATTTACGCCATTTTCTAAACCTCTCTTTTCTTAACATGGGGATTCGTTGAAAGCTAGGGCGGAAAGTACAATTCAGAGACTGCTGGCAGTGGCTCCAAGTAAATCTGCAAATTATTCAGAAAAGTTCATCCAACGCCCGCCATTTAAGTTGTCTAGTTCTCTTTTCTTTGCTATCACTATCAGCTGGTATCTCATTCCCGGCCGAAAGGCCTCGCCTCCGAATAGTCCGATCAGTGTTCAGTTCCGTTCAGTTTTATTAAGGTCAAGATAGGCGAATGTTTGTGACCTCCCTATTGGTTGTAAAAGACGAATACACCTAACGAATACATCAAGATAACTGCACAGAAGATAGTTTCCATAATTGCATGCGACAAGCAGGTGGCTGTCCGAAGATGTAAAATAATAAAAAAGTAACTTTTGCCTAATCACTGCGAGTAGTATGTTCATATATGCTTGCACTGTACCTTTGTTGTATTTAGGAGGTGACTGCGTGGGCGGTATATGAATATCTTGAATACCCGCATCTGCTACTGCTTTCTGCTCACGTCTCTGATGAAGAATCCCCGAGGGATGTGGAAACGTCAGGCGAATAAAAGTGTTGTCGCAGTGATCGAATCCTCTGCTCACCTTGACGTGTGTCGAGTATGACCTCATATGTGCCCGCACGTGAAGAGAGAACAATCTCAAAGGGCGGAGCGTTCAACGCTGTAATGACTTCGTTACGAACATAAAACGTACACTCATCGGTTCCAACTCTCCCTACGCGTAGTTTAAGTGGATAAGTGTTATATGTCATAAATGAAACATCAGTTCCAGTGGAAACTTCCTCCTCTTCAGTTACACTGTCTAGGAATTATAAGTACATTTTCATCAGGATTTCCAAGTCCCAGCTAAACTGTCTACAGGGAAATTTGGGCGATATGATATGACTAAAATGCATAAACTCCGTGCTAAGGTGAGGTTCACATATCCGAAACCATCGATGCCAGTGACTTCCAGTTCCTTTCAATTCAGTTTTATTGCGAGAAAGATAGATAAACGCCTTTGAGCTCCCTATTAGTGGCATAGTGACTGAAAAATGCATCGATACAGTCGAAAAATTCAAACAGTGGTCGCTCACATGATTGCAGGCGAAAAGTGAACAGCCGCCAATTAGTGGGAAATAGTAATCATACAGGTCCACTTTCTCATAAAGAGTAGTATCCTTACAGAATTGTATTATCCTAGGCGCCAACTGAATGCTTCATTCCTAGGCTAGGTATTCTTTTGTATGTGGTAGCCCGGTTAAATACCAGCCGGGAACAGTGCACTTCCCCTCCCCCCCATCATGTCACGAGGATGAAGGGCTGGTTGCTGTTTAGCGAAGTATGTTGCGCCTTCCATTTCCGGCGCCACGTTACGCAAGAGGTCCTGCGAATTCACAACGGTAGCGTATCACCTCCTGCCTTTCATCGCTTGCCCCACGACCAAAACATTCACTGGGGGGAGTTTTAGCCGACGCCCAACATTGTTGTGTCCAGCGTCCTTGTGCAAGGCCGGCCGCCTTAAGATCATCGCAGTGAACGCTTCCAGATGCGCTGACCTGCAGACACTTGACCGACCTTCACTCGGGGCCACACACACACATGCGTCCAGGTGGGCGCGGCCGCCCACGCGCCATCTGAACATGTCCCTTTTTCCCCATCTCGGGTCGATACAGCATATGCCACTAGACACGAAACTCCTCTGGTAATGTCTTACGCACTAATTGGAGAACTCTTGAACCTGCTCCGCCATACTATAAAAACAGCTGCCACCACTGGATCACGCTCTCTCGGACCTGGCTGGAGGCAGTAAATACTCGTCCTGGCTTCGCCAGTGGCCACTGCCACATGAGACGGCAACCGAGTGTTCTCTGAACAATATATCCCTTTCAGAGTTACCTTTTGCCTTTTACATACCAGCCGGGATCTCGACCGGATGAGTGTAGTGCTCCTAGCACAACCACTGCTTAGACGCTAGTGGTGGTTTGCTGTGACCTTTCCACTTACGTTTCTTCAGATCGGGATAACGCCTTTGCCCGAAAATAATCCCGCCGATGATTATCTCTACGAAGTTCTCGTGGGGACCGGTCTCCGCAGAGCAGCTGGCACCACCTCAACGGTCTGTTTTCAACTGAGCGGGGAACGAGGGGGGACTGCGGCCTGCACCCTGCGAGATCCCCATCGACCGATCCTCAAGGCGGGCAATGTGGATCGCTTCTTGCTGGCTGTTGCGGAGTAGGTTTTTCTCCTGTTTTCTGTTCCGACGCCAGGTCATCACTGGTTATTTTTCGTGCATTCATATGCGGCCCTGTTGTTCCTAGTTTTCTGTCTATTCCGACAAAAATATCCAAGCAGTCTGCGTTACTCTGTCTCGTGCTGTTAAGACGAATAAGGTCAACCCTAACGGCTGTGATCTTCCAGGCCCAGTTCCTTAGGAGATGAGAGCAGTCTTGGGAAGGTCAGATTGGGAGGAACAATGTATTTTATAGAGGAGGGTTGGAGAATAGTTAGGAGGAAGTTGCCACTTGGCTGGTGTGGCGTTCGACCGTGAGGGCCATGTGAGAGCGTGTGGTCGTCACAGCGGCCAACGATTCTCTCTACGTCCGCTCCCTGTCGGGGTGGATTTCGGGGTGTCAGTCAACGCTGGAATTGTCACAAGGGCCCAGAGTGGGCATTGATTGGGTCAGCTTCAGGACGATTATTGGCCTGACCAGTCTGGAGTGCGGTGTGCGC